CAATACACCGATGCATGTCTTGTATTCAAGATTCTAAATGGCTTGGCTCCCCCTCCACTCAGTATTTTTGTTAAACAGAAAACCCAAACATATGGCAGCAGATCCACAAGGTCTGCCATGAGAGGTGACTGTGTAGTTCCCCTAAGGAAAAGCACCTTTAGTAAATCCGCTTTTTCTGTGAGAGCTTCCCATGTCTGGAATACACTGCCATCAGACACACATAACTGCACCACATATCACACTTTCTCAAAATGCTTGAAGACATGGCTAAAGGTCAATCAGATTTGTGAACATGGTCCCTAGCTGTGTGTTGCCGCTTTCCATGTCTGTTGTCTGTAACTTGTGAGGTGTGGAAACACTTTGTTGCTTTTTATGAATTTTGTCTTGTTGCTTTTTGTTCTATGTTGCTCGGTCTGTATGCTACGTCTTGTTTGTCCTATGTTGCTATGTCTGTATGCTATGTCTTGTTCTATGTTGTTAGTGTCTATATTGTAATTGTTTTTAATAACCTGCCCAGGGACTGCGGTTGAAAATTAGCCGGCTGGCTAAAACCGGCACTTTTACTGAAACGTTGATTAATGTGCACTGTCCCTGTAAAAATAAACTCAACTTAAAATACAGTGAGGGAAAAAAGTATTTGATCCCCTGCTGATTTTGTTCGTTTGCCCACTGACAAAGACATGATCAGTCTATAATTTTAATGGTAGGTTTATTTGAACAGTGAGAGACAGAATAACAACAAAAAAATCCAGAAAAACGCATGTCAAAAATGTTATAAATTGATTTGCATTTTAATGAGGGAAATAAGTATTTGACCCCTCTGCAAAATATGACTTAGTGCTTGGTGGCAAAACCCTTGTTGGCAATCACAGAGGTCAGACGTTTCTTGTAGTTGGCCACCAGGTTTGCACACATCTCAGGAGGGATTTTGTTCCACTCCTTTTTGCAGATCTTCTCCAAGTCATTAAGGTTTTGAGGCTGACGTTTGGCAACTCGAACCTTCAGCTCCCTCCACAGATTGTCTATGGGATTAAGGTCTGGAGACTGGCTAGGCCATTCCAGGACCTTAAATGTGCTTCTTCTTGAGCCACCTTTGTTGCCTTGACCGTTGTGTTTTGGGTCATTGTCATGCTGGAATACCCATCCACCACCCATTTTCAATGCCCTGGCTGAGGGAAGGAGGTTCTCACCCAAGATTTGATGGTACATGGCCCCGTCCATCGTCCCTTTGATGCGGTGAAGTTGTCCTGTCCCCTTAGCAGAAAAACACCCCCAAAGCATAATGTTTCCACCTCCATGTTTGACGGTGGAGATGGTGTTCTTGGGGTCATAGGCAGCATTCCTCCTCCTCCAAACACAGTGAGTTGAGTTGATGCCAAAGAGCTCCATTTTGGTCTCATCTGACCACAACACTTTCACCCAGTTCTCCTCTGAATCAGTCAGATGTTCATTGGCAAACTTCAGACGGCCCTGTATATGTGCTTTCTTGAGCAAGGGGACCTTGTGGGCGCTGCAGGATTTCAGTCCTTCACGGCGTAGTGTGTTACCAATTGTTTTCTTCGTGACTATGGTCCCAGCTGCCTTGAGATCATTGACAAGATCCTCCCGTGTAGTTCTGGGCTGATTCCTCACCGTTCTCATGATCATTGCAACTCCACGAGGTGAGATCTTGCATGGCCGAGGGAGATTGACAGTTCTTTTGTGTTTCTTCCATTTGCGAATAATCGCACCAACTGTTGTCACCTTCTCACCAAGCTGCTTGGCGATGGTCTTGTAGCCCATTCCAGCCTTGTGTATGTCTACAATCTTGGCCCTGACATCCTTGGAGAGCTCTTTGGTCTTGGCCATGGTGGAGAGTTTGGAATCTGATTGATTGCTTCTGTGGACAGGTGTCTTTTATACAGGTAACAAGCTGAGATTAAGAGCACTCCCTTTAAGAGTGTGCTCCTAATCTCAGCTCGTTAACTGTATAAAAGACACCTGGGAGCCAGAAATCTTTCTGATTGAGAGGGGGTCAAATACTTATTTCCCTCAATAAAAGTCAAAAATGTTATAAATTGATTTGCAATGTGTTTTCCTGGATTTCTTTGTTGTTATTCTGTCTCTCACTGTTCAAATAAACCTACCATTAAAATTATAGACTGATCATTTCTTTGTCAGTGGGCAAACGTACAAAATCAGCAGGGGATCAAATACTTTTTTCCCTCACTGTATGTGGGAAACCCGTTTGAGGTGTCAAATGGTAAAGTATGCGCTGGGAGAAGTGGAGTCTATCAGAGTGACCAGGAGTGGTCTTATTTTTGATTCATTGTATTTCTGAAGAACAGAGGAAGATTGCAGTGGGGCCTCAAAAAGAATCAGAACAACAGAAATGTTGTGTTTTGAACTTCAGAGTAGAGCACCCGTCAAAGGAGTCATCTCAGGAGTGACGACGGATGTTCAGGTTGAATACCTGAAGAAAATTCCTGGTGTGGTCGGGGCCCGACGCCTGACCCGCTGGGTGAATGGAGAAAAATAAGAAAAGTCTGTCGGTCCTGTTGTTTTTTGAAAAAGAGCAAATACCTACGCATGTGAAGCTTGGTTATGTAAGATATGCCGTATGCGCTTTCGTCCCCAAACCATTGCAGTGTAAGAATTGTAAAGGATTTGGCCATGTTTCAAGTATGTGCAGATGGACAGAGTATAAAAAATTAAATAAAATGTTATTGGCCACATGCGCCGAATACAACAGGTGCAGACATTACAGTGAAATGCTTACTTGCAGCCCTTACTCAACAGTGCATTTATTTTTTAATAAAAAAGTCAAATAAAACAAAAAAAAGTGTTGAGAAAAAAAGAGCAGAAGTAAAATAAAATAACAGTAGGGAGGCTATATATACAGGGGGGTACCGGTGCAGAGTCGATGTGCGGGGGCACCGGCTAGTTGAGGTAGTTGAAGTGATATGTACATGTGGGTAGAGTTAAAGTGACTATGCATAAATAATTAACAGAGTAGCAGCAGCGTAAAAAGATGGGGTGGGGGGGGGCAGTGCAAATAGTCCGGGTAGCCATGATTAGCTGTTCAGGAGTCTTATGGCTTGGGGGGTAGAAGCTGTTGAGAAGTCTTTTGGACCTAGACTTGGCACTCCGGTACCGCTTGCCGTGCGGTAGTAGAGAGAACAGTCTATGACTAGGGTGGCTGGAATCTTTGACCATTTTGAAGAACGGTGTGTAGAAGGCTGACGGTGTTGCATTTGTGGTAGGGGATCATGATCCTGAGTTCCTGGAGTGCCCTGTAAGGGTGAAGGAGATTGAGGTGACAAAAGTTAGAGCGGTCAATCGAATCTCCTACGCGGAAGCGATTTAAAATAATTGAGAAAACAAGTGATTCTAGTGAAGATATGGTAGTGGACGCACCACAGCCTGTAGTAAATGTCTGCTGCCAGTCAAAAGATACCCTGTGTGTTAAAAAAGGTAGATTTTTGTGGCGTTCATTGCCACAGTTATAAACTGTACAGCACAAGTGGCAAAGAAGTCTTAAGAAACTGGACATTATTGTGGCTGCGGCAGAAAGTTTTTGGGACTTAAGGATTTTACATCTGAAGACTTTCAAGGTGTACTGGTGCCGGAAGATCCGCCCTCCCAGGTTCCCCTTGGAGCCTATTAGGGGTCTAGAGGCCGTTTTATTTTGTCTTAACTGAAAATTGTCACTATTAGTAAGTATCTCCCACTGTTTTTAGGGAATTGGAACCACCCTGCAGACACTAGGCTGGAATGCAATTTGTGCACCCCTGCCCTTCCATTGAAGTCAGAAAGAAACAGAAAGACTTGTGAAATAGTTCAGTGTCGTTCCATTTTGGAACTGTTTCCTGCACAGAGTGGCAGGATCCTTAAATCGGCATGAATCCATTAAAATGAAACCATGAAATGGTCACTCACGATGCAAGCCTGGTTGTAGCTATTATAGATGTGTTCGAGTCGTGTCAGGGACAAATTCAGCATTTTATCTACCCCTAACCCTTTTCCTAATTCTCCTAACCTGCCACACTAGTTCTCCTGACCTGCTACGAAAATTCACTTCTGCTAGTCAAACCCGTCAGACCTGCCCTGACAGCAGTGTGAGTATCCACTAATGCGATATATTGGCTATGTCGTAAAAATTCGTGAAAACAAAGATGTGCTTTTGTCTTCATTTAGGGTTAGGCTAGCCCGAGATGTACTCTTAATCAGCCTACCATTACTTTGGGATTTTGGCAATGAGGCTCTTTATCTACTTCCCCACAGTCAGATGGACTCATGGATACCATTTTTATTCCTCTGCGTGTGGTTTGAAGGAAGTTGCTCACTAGCGTTAGCGCAATTGCTAACTAGTGTTTGTGCAATGACTGAAAGTCTATGGGTATCTGAGACTTCCAAAATGTGATTTGATTTCATTCATACTGGACACAGACACATAAAAATGGTATCCACAAGTTAATCTGACTCTGGGGAAGTAGATACAGGTTATATTGCCAAAATCCTGAAGTTTCCCTTTAAGGTCTAAGGACCATATGTTATTTTCAGATGTAGACTGGCTCTGGCAGTCAAGAGCCAAATACTTTATCTAAACATGAATCGAATCTCAATTGCGATATGGTTCTAGAGACATAAATCCCTTTACTATCACATCAAAATAATTTCACAAATTAAAAATATACACTTACTGTACTGTTTTAACCGGCTTTTTCACAGTATTTTTCAGAGACAACACGTTTCCTACACACAGGTGTTAGGAGCACGCTAGATAGTTAATTAGCACAGGTGGTCCCTCTGTCTTCCATCCACACACGTAGTAACAAGATGATATGGCCGTGTGGGAACCTTTATAAAGGTGTGTATCAATTTAACCTTTTGTTTTTTGAAAATGATTTCTCCCTGATATGAAAGATAAGGTCCTATGCTTCCAAAAATGGTTAAGGTTAGGTTTAAGGTCACACTTTAAGAAAGATAAATTGTATATAGGCGGGGTTTATGACTGAAGGGGAGCGGAGCAGGAAGCGACTGGGACTACACGGAGAGAGAAGGAGCTGCTGCTAATAAACGACATCAACAGCGGTACTCTCGGGGATATCTCGCTCTTCTCCATAATGTAGGTTGGAGACCAACAGATTGCAGATATGAACTTGGAAACATTTACAATACATTGCTAAAGTGCACAAGTTGGTGAGGAATCGCAAGCTATCTTCCTGTTGTGTCTAGCTGACAAGCTAACCGGGCTAGCTAGCTAACGGCTCCAGGAAAAATGAAGGAGGTGAAGGGTTGCGGTATGAGGTCCTCTGTGGGCTTTCTGTCCCAGAGAAGGCTTTTCGGGAACCCGCTGATGAAGGAAGAATTCCAGAGACTCCGGTTGGCAGGATGCACAAGCCTTTACAAGAAGGATATGCTGGGACATTTCGGATGTGTAAACGCCATAGAGTTTTCCAATAATGGAGGTGAATACCTTGTGTCCGGTAAGTTGGTAACTAGATCACTAGTTATGGAGTTGCTAGCTAGCTACAAATTCCAGCAAGCTAGCACGTCAGAAATCAAGCTTAGCTGGTCGAGACAGCGAATATGCACATTTGGCTCTCTCTCAATTATGACCACGAAAAGACTGGCATGTACAGGCCAAGCCTGCATGGGTTAAAAAAACGGACATTCATTTTGGCTAACTAGGTTAGCATGTTATCCATCTGACAAACTACCACAACATGACCTAAGAGTTTTATAACTAAACCAAGATAGACCACAGCCTGTCGTTTCAAATGGGAACATTTGGGGGCGTCCTCCGAGTGGCGCAGTGGTCTAAGGCACTGCATCGCAGTGTTAGCTGTGCCACTAGAGATCCTGGTTCAAATAGTCGGCCGCGACCGGGAGACCCATGGGGCGGCGCACAATTGGCCCAGCGTCGTCCAGGGTAGGGGAGGGAATGGCCGGCAGGGATGTAGCTCAGTTGGTAGAGCATGGCGTTTGCAACGCCATGGGTTGTGGGTTCGATTCCCACGGGGGGCCAGTATGAAAAAATTCAAAAAATAATGTATGCACTCATTAACTGTAAGTCGCTCTGGATAAGAGCGTCTGCTAAATGACTAAAATGTAAATGGAACAAATGAGCCATAGTGGGCAGAACAACCAAGGAGGTGGGCAGAGCCAAGCACGACCTAGCGAGATCCTATTGGCGCGTTTTTTTTTGCATACATTTGCATGTTTCCGTTAGGGAACGCCTACTCTGAAAGTGCGCGTGTGCAATAATGCACTCCTAAACAATGCAATTTTTTTTTAACTTTAGCAAAGGGTAAGGTCTACAAAAACTTTGTCCACTGTGTTCGTAAGAGATTGTAGTTTTGGGAACAGAACTGTATCGATGGGCTCCCGAGTGGCGCAGCGGTCTAAGGCACTGCATCTCAGTGCTTGAGGCGTCACTACAGACCTGGGTTCAATTCCAGGCTGTATCACAACCGGCCGTGATTGGGAGTCCCGTAGGGCGGCACACAATTGGCCCAGCGTCGTCCAAGTTTGGCCGGGGTAGGCCTTCATTGTAAATAATAATTTGTTCTTAACTGACTTGCCTAGTTAAATAAAGGTTAAATAAAAATTAAATTGAGATCAAATGTATCCTTGATGAGTAAATGATAAGAATGTTGGCCAAAATCCATCTGTGACATGCCTGTAGCAGCTAGCTAGCAACACCACATTCCTGCCCCTTCCTTCGATATAGGGGTGATTCTCACCAAACTGTCACTGGTCTAAGGCAGTGGATAAAAATGGCCGTGCAAGGCTAAAGCAGATCTACAGTGAGGGGAAAAAAGTATTTGATCCCCTGCTGTGAAATGTAACAAGATGGTCTACTACCAGATCAGGAAAAACTCTGGGCCACTCGGAAATCCCCACACAATGTTAAAATGAGAACATCCTATTTGTATGATCTACATTTAGCGTGTTTTTGGTGGTGGTGATGGGCTTCCATATTTGTACCATGCTCAGTGCAGCAGGCAGCTACTGCGACAATTTCAGGCTGTTTACTGCAATTTCAGGTTAAAACGAAATAAAACAAGTCTCAACTATTAGGAAAAAGTCTGCATTTCAGCTGTTTAAAAAATCATTGCCCTGCTATTACCATTTATACTGTAGGAGTGTTGGCTCAATTAGTATTTTTACATTTGAGTAGTATGTGTAGCCAACGGTATTTTTACGAGAAGTGTAGTAAATGTGAAGAGACTCTTAGTTATTCCAGTTATGGTGTGGTAGCTAGGGGAGGTGATGGTGTGGTAGCTAGGGGAGGTAATGGTGTGGTAGCTAGGGGAGGTAATGGTGTGGTAGCTAGGGGCGGTGATGGGGTGGTAGCTAGGGGCGGTGATGTGTGGTAGCTAGGGCGGTGATGGTGTGGTAGCTAGGGGCGGTGATGGTGTGGTAGCTAGGGGAGGTAATGGTGTGGAGCTAGGGCGTGGTGGTGATGGGGTATGGGTGAGCTAGGGGCGGTGATGGTGTGGTAGCTAGGGGGTAGGGTGTATAGGGTGTGGTAGCTAGGGGCGGTGATGGTGGGTCTAGGGATATGGTGTGTAGCTAGGGGCGTGTGATGGTGTGGTAGCTAGGGGCGGTGATGGTGTGGTAGCTAGGGGCGGTGATGATGGTGTGGTAGCTAGGGGCGGTGATGGTGTGGTAGCTAGGGGAGGTGATGGTGTGGTAGCTAGGGGCGGTGATGGTGTGGTAGCTAGGGGAGGTGATGGTGTGGTAGCTAGGGGCGGTGATGGTGTGGTAGCTAGGGGCGGTGATGGTGTGGTAGCTAGGGGGGTGATGGTGTGGTAGCTAGGGGCGGTGATGGTGTGGTAGCTAGGGGCGGTGATGGTGTGGTAGCTAGGGCGGTGATGGTGTGGTAGCTAGGGGAGGGCGGTGGGTGCTGGGAGTGATGTGTGGTAGCTAGGGGCGGTGATGGTGTGGTAGCTAGGGGCGGTGATGGTGTGGTAGCTAGGGGCGGTTGTGATGGTGTGGTAGCTAGGGGCGGTGATGGTGTGGTAGCTAGGGGAGGTAATGGTGTGGTAGCTAGGGGCGGTGATGGTGTGTTTCTCTACCGGTGGGCCTTGCAAGAGTAAAAACCCCAGACCAAACCAGAAGTTTGTTGTACTGGTTTTGTTTACTGTGTGTGTGTGTGTGTGTGTGTGTCTTTTCAATCCACAGGAGGAGATGATCGCAGAGTGTTGCTATGGGATCTGGAGAGAGTCCTCCATGCCCGCTCGGCCAAGCCTCTCATACTGAAGGGAGAACACCTCTCCAACATCTTCTGCTTGGCCTTCGACAGTACCAACAAGAGGGTGTTCTCTGGGGGTAAGAGAACATAAAATGATCCGTTTTAGTTAACATACCGGGTGTTTCTCAAAATGCATACAACCGTGCTCTGGCCACGGGAGGGTCTGAGTGAGTCCAAATCAAAGTATGCGAAACGGAGCACGGAGGGCACTTCTCCCGACGCGTACTCCAGTTGTACTTATTTTGAAGCATCCATCTATTCAAGCTTCAACGGGAAGTATGCGCAGAAATATGACGCAACCACATAAAAAAACAACGCAACATTTCTTGAAGTCAATGGCAGACATTTATTTGAGCTGAAGCGAGAGGGAATAAAACTGACTTCAGAATGAAAAGTTCCCCATTCACATCTCAGCTTGATATGTTTATAAACACATACTGGGTTAATTTGGGCATTTCTACCTGCCTACAATAGCAACTGTAGTGTGCATAGATCGCAAGTCAATAGGGCTAACTGGCTAGCTACTACTGTTAGCTAGCTAGCTACCCACAAAGAATTTAACATCTACACTACCGGTCAAAAGTTTTAGAACACCTACTCATTCAAGGGTTTTTCTTTTCTTTTTCAAAAACTATTTTCTACATTGTAGAATAATAGTGAAGACATCAAAACTATGAAATAACACACATGGAAATCATGTAGTAACCAAAAAAGAGCCACCCTTTGCCTTGATGACAGCTTTGCGCACGCTTGGCATTCTCTCAACCAGCTGAGGTAGTCACCTGGAATGCATTTCCAACATCTATCTGCCCTCTATGGGTTATGAATGGGTTATGAAGTTCTTCATGTAGGTACCGTTCAACTAAACTGTTACTATTGTCTCTTTTTAAAGGCAACGATGAACAGGTCATCCTTCATGATGTAGAGCGGTGAGTATTATTATTAATCTTCCTCAGTGTGTACGTACCTACTTCCTTCTTTGGGAGCATAGGCCATGGACGACCCCTTTCCTTCTCGCTCTGGGATGGGTTCTCCAGCTCGTCCCACCCTGCTGGTTCTCCCGCAAAGTGTTTACTCTGTCTAAAATACTCCTAATGCGTTTAGCTGCATTTTAATGTGTTAGTCAGAAATTTTATGTTTTTATGAAATTACAACTCATCTCCCCATATACCAGCAAGACATTGATGCAGACATTGGTTCCCACTCCAGCTCGCTACTTGGAATGAATGTGGGTCTTTCTATAAATAAAGGGGCCAAAATCAGGGTCAACATTTTTTTTAATGGTTTGATATACATTTAAATATGATTTTCTTGCAGCTTCACATGTGTAGTTACAGGAATAATAGTCTAGATGGGCACAATGAAACCATAACTCCTAGCAACAACAAAACATCTACCTGCCACTAGCAACAACAACACATCTACCTGCCACTAGCAACAACAACACATCTACCTGCCTCTAGCAACAACAAAACATCTACCTGCCTCTAGCAACAACAACACATCTACCTGCCTCTAGCAACAACAACACATCTACCTGCCTCTAGCAACAACAAAACATCTACCTGCCTCTAGCAACAACAAAACATCTACCTGCCTCTAGCAACAACAACACATCTACCTGCCACTAGCAACAACAACACATCTACCTGCCACTAGCAACAACAAAACATCTACCTGCCACTAGCAACAACAACACATCTACCTGCCACTAGCAACAACAACACATCTACCTGCCTCTAGCAACAACAAAACATCTACCTGCCACTAGCAACAACAACACATCTACCTGCCACTAGCAACAACAACACATCTACCTGCCTCTAGCAACAACAAAACATCTACCTGCCACTAGCAACAACAACACATCTACCTGCCACTAGCAACAACAAAACATCTACCTGCCTCTAGCAACAACAACACATCTACCTGCCTCTAGCAACAACAACACATCTACCTGCCTCTAGCAACAACAACACATCTACCTGCCTCTAGCAACAACAACACATCTACCTGCCTCTAGCAACAACAACACATCTTCCTGTCACTAGCAACAACAAAACATATACCTGCCACTAGCAACAACAAAACATCTACCTGCCTCTAGCAACAACAACACATCTACCTGCCTCTAGCAACAACAAAACATCTACCTGCCACTAGCAACAACAACACATCTACCTGCCTCTAGCAACAACCAAAACATCTACCTGCCATTAACAATGTGACATGCCTAGTAGCAGGTCTGTTTGTGCTTTAGTCAACTTCTCTAGCATTTATAGCCATGCTAAACCTACCAGAAGAATGAAAAGATTTCTATATGTTTTAATAGTCGATAGAATATAATATAATAATATAATACAATAGGTTCTGTCAACAAAATCATTGACAATAATAATAATAATAATAATAGCCATTAATTACAATATTATAATCGGTAAACTCTTCAAGGTGTGTGTGTGTGTGTGTGTGTGTGTGTGTGTGTGTGTGTGTACTAGACGTCACATTCTTGCTTCCTCTCCTTGATAGTGTATTGGAGCCTGAGGGGAGGAACCTCCTCTCCTCCAATGGGCTTTGAGAGGGAGGTGAGGAATGGGGGAGGAACCTCCTCTCCTCCAATGGGCTTTGAGAGGGAGGTGAGGAATGGGGGAGAATCTCAATTACACGTCCTTCATTCCTCACGTCCTCTCTCTTCGCCGCCTTCTCAAAACCCATTGGATAAGAAGGTGAGAGGGGAGGGACCTCTGACCTTCTCGTCTAATGGGTTTTGAGGAGACGAGGTGAGCAGATGTAACGAATCAAGGAAATGCAATTGAGGTTCTCCCAAGGACAGACGAAGCAAGTATTTGACAGATATTCATTTTTATTTTATTTTCTGACGTTGCCAGACTGCCTGAGCTACCATAATACCCATGGCCTGTCCAGAAACAGTCTAGACACTACCCATGGCCTGTCCAGAAACAGTCTAGACACTACCCATGGCCTGTCCAGAAACAGTCTAGACACTACCCATGGCCTGTCCAGAAACAGTCTAGACACTACCCATGGCCTGTCCAGAAACAGTCTAGACACTACCCATGGCCTGTCCAGAAACAGTCTAGACACTACCCATGGCCTGTCCAGAAACAGTCTAGACACTACCCATGGCCTGTCCAGAAACAGTCTAGACACTACCCATGGCCTGTCCAGAAACAGTCTAGACACTACCCATGGCCTGTCCAGAAACAGTCTAGACACTACCCATGGCCTGTCCAGAAACAGTCTAGACACTACCCATGGCCTGTCCAGAAACAGTCTAGACACTACCCATGGCCTGTCCAGAAACAGTCTAGACACTTCGGGTGTGTGGTGGACCTACGGCACGACCCAGGCATTGGTTGGGATCCTTAATTCCGTTGCTATACACAGATTTGCACAGGTGTAAGCTGGACACACCCACAGCACCTTATCAGGCTGATCAGGCAGGTCTGGGTAGCTGGAGACCACACCCACGGCACCTTATCAGGCTGATCAGGCAGGTCTGGGTAGCTGGAGACCACACCCACGGCACCTGATCAGGCTGATCAGGCAGGTCTGGGTAGCTGGAGACCACACCCACGACACCTTATCAGGCTGATCAGGCAGGTCTGGGTAGCTGGAGACCACACCCACGGCACCTTATCAGGCTGATCAGGCAGGTCTGGGTAGCTGGAGACCACACCCACGGCACCTTATCAGGCTGATCAGGCAGGTCTGGGTAGCTGGAGACCACACCCACGGCACCTTATCAGGCAGGTCTGGGTAGCTGGAGACCACACCCAGGGCACCTTATCAGGCTGATCAGGTAGGTCTGGGTAGCCGGAGACCTGCTGTAAACAGTGAGATTATATATTTACATGTCTACTATTCACACCCTGGCTTCATTCCAGCTAGTTAGATGTGCAACCACTGACTAACTACAGCTAAGGGAATATCTCTAGTCTAGCAATAGATACTGTTTCTTTTTTTGGGGGCTGTATAGCATCATTTAATACGATGACTAATGGTTAGCTAGGCTATATCAGTCAGCTAACCATATACAGTAACAGCAGTTCATTAATAAACCAATACACACTAAATCTTATGTAGAAAGCTTACCTTATCTTGGCGCTGTGGCACGTCATGGGCAGCTATTAATAGGTAATAGATTCATAGAATGGAGTTAAAAGGTTGACCTCTTACTTTGAAAGGACAGGAAGTGTTGGCTGTGCACTTGACCAGGCATTCCACCTTTAACCCCACACACATTTTAACATCGAAATATCAAGTCATCTTTTGGTTTTTGTATGCAAAAATAAGCATATTCAAACAGTCCATTTTCACATTCCCAATTGCTTAATTTTAACTCGGAAAACAAATGATCAAAACTTACAAGAACTTACCTCAGGAATCTTGATTTTAATGTTGTCCATGAAGTAGGCTAATTAACTTGACCGTTGTAACAACATATACACCAGAATGTTCTGTCAATCCTCCAGAATAATATGAATGAATGTACTTTGGCTGCTGTTAAATCGCATGCAGTATCATACAAGCTCTAGTATTAAACAAGGCTTCATTCTAAGCGGTGGTTAGTATTAATACAAGGCTTCATTCTAAGTGGTAGGTTATTATTAATACAAGGCTTCATTCTAAGTGGTAGGTTAGTATTAATACAAGGCTTCATTCTAAGTGGTAGGTTATTATTAATACAAGGCTTCATTCTAAGTGGGAGGTTATTATTAATACAAGGCTTCATTCTAAGTGGGAGGTTAGTATTAATACAAGGCTTCATTCTAAGTGGTAGGTTAGTATTAAAACAAGGCTTCTTTCTATGTGTTATGTTAGTATTAATTAATATATGGGATTTGGAACATAGTCTGAAACCGCATTTAGATAACACATCTCCTCAAATAGGCCTATCGGGGAAAATATTGACACAGATATTGACTTTGCTATTGTACATGAAGCAGCTGTATTCTGTTCTTCCAGAGGTGAGACTCTGAACGTGTTCCTCCATGACGATGCGGTGTACGGCCTGTCAGTCAGCCCGGTTAACGACAACGTGTTCGCCAGCTCCTCTGACGACGGACGGGTCCTCATCTGGGACACACGGCAGCCGCCACACGGAGGTAATAATAATATACATGAACAAAAAATATAAACGCAACACGCAACAATTCCAACGATTTTACTGACTTACAGTTCATATAAGGAAATCAGTGTCAATTTAAATAAATTCGTTAGGCCCTAATCTATGGATTTCACATGACTGGGCAGGGGTGCAGCCATGGGTGGGCCTGGGAGGGCATATGCCCACCAACTTGGGAGACAGGCCCACCCACTGGGGAGCCAGGCCCAGCCAATCAGAATGAGTTTTCCTCCACAAAAGGGCTTTATTACAGACAGAAATACTCCTCAGTTCCATCAGCTGTCCGGGTGGCTGGTCTCAGACGATCCCGCAGGTGAAGAAGCCAGATGTGGAGGTCCTGAGCTGGCGTGGTTACACGTGGTGTGCGGTTGTGATGCCGGTTGGATGGACTGCCAAATTCTCTAAAATAACGTTGGAGGAGGCTTATGGTAGAGAAATTAACATTAAATGATCTGGCAACAGCTCTGGTGGACATTCCTGTAGTCAGAATGCGAAATTGCTCGCCCCCTCAAAACTTGAGACATCTGTGGCCATTGTGTTGTGTGACAAAACTGCACATTTTTAGAGTGGCCTTTTATTGTCCCCAGCACAAGGTGCACCTGTGTAATGATCAGGCTGTTTAATCAGCTTCTTGATATGCCACACCTGTCAGGTGGATGGATTATCTTGGCAAAGGAGAAATGCTCACTAACAGGGATGTAAACAAATGTGTGCACAAATCTTTTATTTCAGCTCATGAAACATGGGACCAACACTTTACATGTTGCGTTTTTTATATTTTTGTTCAGTATAAAACAGTGTATTTTCAGTGTATTATTGTATATAAAACATATTGCAATAGGCCTCCCCCTGATCAATGACCATGTCATCTGAGTTAAACACATGTCCTTCCCTGTGTTTTTCAGAACCATTCTGTCTGGCCAATTACCCATCAGCCTTCCACAGCGTGATGTTCAACCCGGCAGAGCCCCGACTGCTGGCCACAGCCAACTCCAAGGAGGGGGTGGGGCTGTGGGACATCCGCAAGCCTCGCACGTGAGGCTTCTGTTAAATGATGATGTAAAAACTGTCACACTCTGAATTTTCAGGCTGTAATCCAGCAACTGTTTTACCCAATTTGTCCACCAGAGGGCACTCTTTTATTATTTAATTCACCGATTTCTCTCATTGCTTCCATTCTGACCATATAAGATTGAAACTGCCACTAAATATAATCAGACCTACTAAGGACCCTCTCTTTATATTGCTGCTTTTAGTGGTTAAGAGCGTTGTGCCAGTAACCGAAAGGTCGCTGGTTCTAATCCCCGAGCCGACTAGGTGAAAAATCTGTCGATGTGCCCTTGAGCAAGGCACTTAACCCTAAATTGCTCATGTAAGTCGCTCTGGATAAAGCGTCTGCTAAATGACTGAAATGTACGCTGTCTGTCGATCACATTTTATTTTCTAAAGCCCCTTTTTTCACATCAGCAGCTGTCGCGGTGCTTTAACAAACAGTCGGCCTAGAACCCCAAGAGTCAAGGCAGCAGCGCAAAGCACAGTGGCCAGGAAGAAACCCAGAGAGGAAACCCGGCTCCTTCCTAACCCACCTCTCTTTTGTCTGTCCCAGTTCTCTGCTGCGGTACGGTGGCAGCATGTCCCTCCAGAGTGCCATGTCGGTGCGTTTCAACAGCACGGGGACCCAGCTCCTGGCCCTGCGTCGCAGGCTACCCCCAGTCCTCTACGAGCTACACTCACGCCTACCCAGCTTCCAGTTCGACAACCAGGGCTACTTCAACTCCTGTACCATGAAGAGCTGCTGCTTCGCTGGAGACAAGGACCAGGTGAGCTTCGGGGCTATGGGTGCATCACAAATGTTGTAGAGCCCTACGGGCTCAGGTCAAAAGTAGTGCACTATATAGGGAATAGGGTGCAGCATTTGTGACCTTCTCAGAGCTTTTCTGTTTTCCTACAGAACTGCTGCTTTACCCTCTGTGTTTTTAGGGCTGTGACGGTAATTGAATAACCGTGTAACTGACGGTCATGGATGAAGACTGCCATGAAAATAAAATAACCGTCAAAACCGTTACATAGGCCTACATTCATTTATTTTTTGTATTATTTATTTTTTCATTTAACTTTATTTTCATGTAGAGGAACTTTATAGCGGGAGTGTTTACTGATGACCAGTTGTTTGGTCTGTCTACATCTCCTTTTTCTTCTAACTGTTGTTTAATGCTCCGGCAGCCAGTCCGCTAGATGTGCAGGGTCTAGTCTATTCACTATGACACTTCAGTCAAAACATTGTTTGATGTTTTGGAGTTTTATTTTATACAACGTTTTCATTGCTTGCTAGTAAATAAATAAATCAGTGTTCTTTTAAAAAAAAAAAAGGTTGGATGTGTCTGAATATTCATTCATTATTCGACAGCAGTCGACAAAGTTGTTCTTTGCTCTAAGCTGTTGACCAATCAAAATTGTTATCTGGGACACTGACCGGTCTGTGGGTTCATTGTGTGAATTAATAATGCATCAGTTTTCAATGCATCAGTGTAGCAAGGTATCAATTTAGTCAATGTGATCACACCAGAGCTGGGCTACACGTCATTCTCGCCATTCAAACTTCCCTGCCAGTTCATTGCCAACGCTGTAGCAAGCAAGAGGATTGGGGCCTCCCGAGTGGCGCAGTGGTCTAAGGCACTGCATCGCAGTGCTAGCTGTGCCACTAGAGATCCTGGTTCGAGTCCAGGCTCTGTCGCAGTCGGCCGAGACCGGGAGACCCATGGGGCGGCGCACAATTGGCCCAGCGTCATCCAGGTTAGGGGAGGGATTTGGCCGGCAGGGATGTTCTTGTCCCATCGCGCACTAGCGACTCCTGTGGCGGGCCAGGGCGTACAGTGTTTCCTCCGACACATTGGTGCAGCTGGCTTCCGGGTTAAGCGGGCATTGTGTCAAGAAGCAGTGCTGCTCGGTTGGGTTGTGTTTCGGAGGACGCACGGCTCTCGACCTTCGCCTCTCCCGTGTCCGTACGGGAGTTGCAGCGATGGGACAAGACTGTAACAACCAATTAGATACCACGAAATTGGGGAGAAAAAGGGGTAAAAACAAATATATACACTACCGTTCAAAAGTTTGGGGTCACTTTGAAATATCCTTGTTTTCGAAAGAAATGGCTATTGTAGCTGGAAACTGCTGATTTAAAAAAAAAATTGAATATCTACATAGGCGTACAGAGGCCCATTATCAGCAACCATCAGTCCTGTGTTCCAATGGCATGTTGTGTTTGCTAATCCAAGTTTATCATTTTAAAAGGCTAATTGATCATTAGAAATTGACTAGAGTATCTGGAGCATCAGCAATTGTGGGTTCGATTACAGGCTCAAAATGGCCAGAAACAAATAACTAACTTCTGAAACTTGTCAGTCTATTCTTGTTCTGAGAAATGAAGGCTATTCCTTGCGAGAAATTGCCAAGAAACTGAAGATCCCGTACAACGCTGTGTACTACTCCCTTCACAGAACAGAGCAAACTGGCTCTAACCAGAATAGAAAGAGGAGTGGGAGGCCCCAGTGCACAACTTAGCAAGAGGACAAATACATTAGTGTCTAGTTTGAGAAACAGGCGCCTCACAGGTCCTCAACTGGCAGCTTCATTAAATAGTACCTGCAAAACACCAGTCTCAACATCAACAGTGAAGAGGCGACTCCGGGATGCTGACCTTCTAGGCAGAGTTGCAAAGAAAAAGCCATATCTCAGACTGGCCAATAAAAAGAAAAGATTAAGATGGGCAAAAGAACACAGACACTGGACAGAGGAAGATTGGAAAAACGTGTTATGGACAGATTAATCGAAGTTTGAGGTGTTCGGATCACAAAGAAGAACATTTGTGAGACCAAATGAAAAGATGCTGGAGGAGTGCTTGATGCCATCTGTCAAGCATGGTGGGGGCAATGTGATGGTCTGGGGGTGCTTTGGTGGTGGTAAAGTGGGAGATTTGTACAGGGTAAAAGTGATCTTGAAGAAGGAAGGCTATCTCTCCACAGCTCCAAACTATGCAATAACTATTTAGGGAAGAAGCAGTCAGCTGGTATTCTGTCTATAATGGAGTGGCCAGCACAGTCACCGGATCTCAACCCTTTTGAGCTGTTGTGGGAGCAGCTTGACCGTAAGAAGTGCCCATCAAGCCAATCCAACTTGTGGGAGGTGCTTCAGGAAGCATGGGGTGAAATCTCTTCAGATTACCTCAACAAATTGACAACTAGAATGCCAAAGGTCTGCAAGGCTGTAATTGCTGCAAATGGAGGATTCTTTTGACGAAAGTAAAGTTTGAAAGACACAATTATTATTTCAATTAAAAATCATTATTTCTAACCTTGTCAATGACTACATTTCCTATTCATTTAGCTATATTTCCTATTCAAACTCATTTCATGTATGTTTTCATGGAAAAACAAGGACATTTAAGTGACCCGAAACATTTGACCGGTAGTGTGTGTATATATAGATTTAGATAAAGATGGAGGCGCGTACCGAAAGGACGCATGGGTTTTCTACCAACAAAACTGTGGTTGTATGTAGAAATCAGACAAAGTTTAAATGAAGCCTCAATATATCCTCAAGCAACAGAGAGAGTGAGCAGTCTGTTTTTGTACAACAGCGAACCAATCAGTTGGTAAAATTGCGCGGTGACACAAATCCAGCAAGCCGTGGCTTCCCCCAGGGGGAAAAGACGAGGGGCAACGTGGAGAGAGCTAAAGGATATCCAGGAAAACGGCTCAAACGCTCACCAAAACAAACAAACTGCTACAGTCTTTTTTTTAAATAAGTAGATTTGCTCGAAGAGAAGGAGTCTATCGTGCCAGACATGCGCATTCAAGGCGTGCGCATGAATGAACAAGACAACAAAATTAGCCTTCTGGAAAACAAAGTTTCAAACTTTTAGAAGATTAATTGGACCAGCAAGAAAACCGAATGAGACGAAACAACATGAATATTGTCCTTACTGGAAGACGAGGACAAAAAAGGATAGGAAGTTGACGTGGATATATCACCGAAGAATCTGGAACGATGCCATAGGATTGCGGTGAAACAGAATAACGCTAAATACCCTCGCATGGTAATCTTCAAGCTGTGGAGCTATCAGACCAAAGTCAACATTCTGAAGCCACAGAGGGGAACATTTAGATAAATCCACGGCCAGTCCGTTCGATTCATCCAGGACCTGTCTGCCAAGCTGAGGAAAAAAAACCACAAGTAATGCATTCCGATCAGACAGTCACCGGAGGAAAAAGGATTCAAATCTCAACGCTGCTTCCTGGCAGTGCTGTGGGTAATAGAAGGGAACGCAATGGATGGAATTCACAAGCGCCTTAATCAAGCTACAAGAAACGATGTGCGCACTAGGCTACATAGTGAGTGATGCCTGAGACCGGCTTATCATTCATTGAGACCATATCCTTTCCTCCCCCTCCCAACAATACAATCTATACTCTACTTTCCCCCAAGTATCTGTTCTTCTCTATGAAGTAACGATAGAAGTAGCCAGTGGACTACATGGACACTGAAAAGACAATTCAAAGGGGGAAATATAGCATATGTCAATAACTGTTCTCTCGTGTGTGTCAGAATGGGAGGGTGAGCCATGGTGAATATGTGTAGGATGGTGGGAGAGTGGGTGGGTGGATGCATAGGGTGACCGACCGGCTCAAAACGAAATTGTGTTTTTTACTTTGGATAAAAGTAGAGACTCAGAGCTAGAAAATGGTATATCATACACTACAGTTGAGGAACAATGGGAAAGTAATTCTGCTTTGAAAGTTGATAAACTTGTAACCTCACGTTTGAGAAAATGAATGTTTTGGTACCTACTGAAGAGCTCTTCTTTGTCTAAACCCATTCAGCATCGTTCACACCCATCTTAAGCTTGATCCGAGAATTCTGTCCTAACAACAGCAGTCAATCACCCAAGCTAACTGGCTAACTTGCTAGCTACTTCCAGACACAAATGAGAGAACAGCTCAATGACCGTTTTACTCGCCCTAGCAGAGCTGGTTAGGCTGTTTTTATGTTATCCAGAGCGTTGGTGACGGCAACTGTGCTGCTAGCAACAATTTACGCTTTTTTGCCAAAGTTTACTGACACCGGCAATATTCAATTGGTGTTGGTAAATTCGTCAGTTATTCTGCGCTCTGGCACACTCAGACGAGAGTGCTCTGAAATCGGAGTAGATAGCCAGAGCAAATTTACCAGCTACGTCTATCAGTTTTCGCAGTGACATAATTAACATTCAATTGAAATGGTTACTTGCATAGTGAAGTATTTTGTTAAGACATGTAGCTAGCTAGCTAGCTAGCTAAACAATGAACCATAATCCCAACTCATGACGTTACTACCCTGCATGAATCTGCAGATAGCTAACCAACCAGGTTCAATGTTAGCTAGGTAACATTAGGCTATAACTAGCAAAGCAAATGGCTCTGAGATACGAATAATATTACTACACAGATCATACACGTAACGTTAGCTAGCAAGCCAGCCAGCTAACGTTAGCTAGCTAGTACACTATAACTTGAAATGAAAACTACTTCCTGACAAAATTAGAAACGTGTAATATATGAAAATGTAGCTAGCTAGACTAGATCTTACCCGTATACATGGACGGACGCTTCTCACTCTTTGTCACGGATGCCATGGTTGCCCTTAGTTTGAAGATGTAATCCGGAGACGGGTGTTTTCGCCATCTCCTTAGCTATCATACTGTCATTCCACTTATTTCAAAACTCGGTCCTCCAGAAAGTGGAGAGCAACACTTATGCAGTTCCTACTACGCAATGTATATTTTTTTTTAAAGCCGCGTTACACAGGATTACCTAGACATACTGATCCGCTCAAATAGACAGAAGCGTGCAACATGGCAGACCAATCCGAACTCATCTCTCTGCATTTCCAGCCCACTCATTATCTCAGCCAATCATGGCTAGCGGGAAGGTTGCTGTCTTTTTCTGTAGCTAAACCAACTAGGCTCGTAATTTTAACAATTTTATTCGTATTCGCATACAAGTTTGTTATTAAGGCACATGAAAATTCAGACGTTCCAGAAGGCATTTCTGCAAAAAAAAAACGCATTTTGATAAAAAAAAAAGTTTAAGTTCAAATGGCTCTCCTGTGAAGTAGTGACCCGTGACATACGCCTGGTTTCCTGAAACAAGTCACGTATGTAGGCCGGAAATTATTGAGAATGGATGAGTAGGTCGATGAATGGATGGGATTAAGTGTATCCGAGGTAGGGAGGGTGGGAAAAGATGGGAGGTAGGGACAAGCTTGGCTTGGGTGGCCAAGGATGGGAGGTAGGGACAAGCTTGGCTTGGGTGGCCAAGGATGGGAGGTAGGGACAAGCTTGGCTTGGGTGGCCAAGGATGGGAGGTAGGGACAAGCTTGGCTTGGGTGGCCAAGGATGGGAGGTAGGGACAAGCTTGGCTTGGGTGGACAAGGATGGGAGGTAGGGACAAGCTTGGCTTGGGTGGACAAGGATGGGAGGTAGGGACAAGCTTGGCTTGGGTGGCCAAGGATGGGAGGTAGGGACAAGCTTGGCTTGGGTGGCCAAGGATGGGAGGTAGGGACAAGCTTGGCTTGGGTGGCCAAGGATGGGAGGTAGGGACAAGCTTGGCAAGGGTGGCCAAGGATGGGAGGTAGGGACAAGCTTGGCTTGGGTGGCCAAGGATGGGAGGTAGGGACAAGCTTGGCAAGGGTGGACAAGGATGGGAGGTAGGGACAAGCTTGGCAAGGGTGGACAAGGATGGGAGGTAGGGACAAGCTTGGCTTGGGTGAGAGGTTGGGAGAAGCTTGGGTGGGGTAAAGGGGGGAGGAAACAGGGAGGGGGAGGTGGAGACAGATGGGTTTTGCTTGGGGGAGAGAGAGAAGGAAGGATTTAACTATACTACAATGTCATTTTATTTATTTTTGTGACTTGCGAACCTGCTGTAAAAAGAATAAGAGTTCTGGACAGATTAGGAGATGATGTCGTGGGCTTCCCGAGTGGTGCAGCGCAGTGCTAGAGGCGTCACTACAGACCCGGGTTCGATCACTGGCTGTATCACAACCGGCTGTGATCGGGAGTCCCATAGGGCGGCGTACAATTGGCACAGCGTCGTCCAGGTTGGGGGAGGGTTTGGCCGGGGGGTGCATTACTTGGCTCATCGCGCTCTAGCAACTCCTTGTGGAGGGCCGGGACGCCTGCATGCTGACCTCGTCGTCAGGTGAACGGTGTTTCCTCCGACACATTGGTGCGGCTGGCTTCCAGGTTAAGCGGGCAGGTGTTAAGAAGCGTGGTTTGGCGGGTCATGTTTTGGAGGATGCATGACTCGACCTTTGCCTCCCAAGCCCATTGGGGAGTTGCAGCGATGAGACGAGATACAAAAAACAAAAAAAGGAGAGGATGTCGAATCATTATTCCTTGTTTGTCATTATAGCTGAATTTACAAGGTAATACAAACTGACCACAATACTTAAGTGGCAGTCTTTCGCCAATGTACAGAACATTTGGAAACTATTCAGACCCCTTGACTTTTTCCACATTTTGTTACGTTACAGCCTTATTCTAAAATGGATTACCAATAAGAAGAAGAGACTTGCTTGGGCCAAGAAACACGAGCAATGGACTTTAGACCGGTGGAAATCTGTCCTTTGGTCTGATGAGTCCAAATTTGAGATTTTTGGTTCCAACCGCCGTGTCATTGTGAGACGCAGAGTAGGTGAACGGATGATCTCCGCATGTGTGGTTCCCACTGTAAAGCATGGAGGAGGAGGTGTGATGGTGCTTTGCTGGTGACACTGTTGGTGATTTATTTAGAATTCAAGGCACACTTAACCAGCATGGCTACCACAGCATTCTGCAGCGATACGCCATCCCATCTGGTTTGGGCTTAGTGGGACTATCATTTGTTTTTCAACAGGACAATGACCCAAAACACACCTCCAGGCTGTGTAAGGACTATTTGACCAAGGAGAGTGATGGAGTGCTGCATCAGATGACCTGGCCTCCACAATCACCCGACCTCAACCCAATTGAGATGGTTTGGGATGAGTTGGATCGCAGAGTGAAGGAAAAGCAGTCAACAAGTGCTCAACATATGTGGGAACTCCTTCAAGACTGTTGGAAAAGCATTCCTCATGGAGCTGGTTGAGAGACTGCCAAGAGTGTGCAAAGCTGTCATCAAGGAAAAGGGTGGCTTTGGTTACTACATGATTCCATATGTGTTATTTCATAGTTTTGATGTCTTCACTATTATTCTACAATGTAGAAAATAGTAAAAATAAAGAAAAACCCTTGAATGAGTAGGTGTGGACAAACTTCTGACTGGTACTGTACATGCCAATTAGCAGAACTTTATCCAAAGCGACTTACACTACAGTGAGTGCATACATTTTCAGTATATGGATGTGGGACTTGAACCCACAACCTTTTGCGTCGCTAGCTTAACACTCTTACCATCTGAACCACACAGACTTGTTTTGTTTTCCTGCATACCTAGAAAGTCAACGACCCCGATTATATTTCACAGCGTCCCAAATGCCACCCTATTCTCTACGTAGTGCACTACTTTTGACCGGAGCTCTGGACACTATGTAAGGAATAGGGTGTAATTTAGGGGCTAGTCCCTCCTCGTATGAGACATGACATCACTCTGCAACCATGTGTAGTTTATGTTCACAATATGCTGCGGTGTTGTCAGGGGAGACCTAGCTACAGAAGACTCTTCTACGCTAAAAGAACAGAACTGTGCTGCAGCAGGCTGGGTTCTACCAGTGGGTTCTACCAGTGGGTTCTACCAGTGGGTTCTACCAGTGGGAGTGGGGTTCTACCAGTGGGTTCTACCAGTGGGTTCTACCAGTGGTGTGTGAGACCAGAATGAAACCGAGAAAGAGGGAGAGGTGAGGCCTGTGGGAGGTGGTGAAGCACGTCAGCTGGACAGACCCGAGTGAAATGGCCGCAGCTACATTCAGTAGTGCTTTCTCTATTCTGTGCGCATGGCCCCCTGACTACTTGTTGTGAAGGTGATGATCTTGCTTAGAAACCCCAAAAAGGCTAGTGCCGGTAATGGCTACAGTCCTACTTGACGTGTCCTGGGTCTCCCCTCCCCTCCCAGGTGTGCTGCATGACCAGGTGTCACCCCAGACCTCCTAATGACCCTAGTGATGTCACTAGGAGCCGTTTAGTTAGTAGATATATAATTACCCTAGTGAGAAAGACAAAAACTGCATCCCCAAATGGCACCCTATTCCCTACATAGTTCACTACCCTGGTCAAAAGTAGTGCACTATATAGGGAATAGGGTGCTATTTGGGATACAGTCTTTGGGTCATTTTGGATAATTATTATCTTCTGGCTTCATTGGCTTGGCTCCTCATTGCCTGGCAACGGACAGCACACATATTTCTGCTCAGTGTGTTTTTGTAGAAGTTACACCACATCTCAAATTCTATCTTCTCTCGGAGAAGAGATTTGTCATAAATACGTCGGTGTCCGTCTGTAACTGTGCTGACTGTTTGCTGTATCTACAAATGGATCCTTGATTTTAAATTTAAAAAAAGGAAAGTTTAAAAAGGAAAAATGTCACATTTAACACCGAGGATCTAGGCCCGGATTCATAAAGCGTCAAGAGTGCTGATCTAGGATTAGATCACCCTGTCCACGTAATCTCAGGACAGCGGAGTCACTCACCACCTTCCGGAAACACTTGAAACCCCACCTCTTTAAGGAATACCTGAGATAGGATAAAGTAATCCTTCTATCCCCCCCCCCCCCCAAATAAATAGAGAATAATATATTGTAAAGTGGTTATCCCACTGGCTATCATAAGGTGAATGCACCAATGTGTAAGTCACTCTGGATAAGAGCGTCTGCTAAATGAAGTAAATGAAATGAAATGAATGGTCCTCTGTAGCTCAATTGGTAGAGCACGGCGCTTGTAACGCCAGGGTAGTGGGTTCGATCCCCGGGACCACCCATACGTAAAAATGTATGCGCACATGACTGTAAGTCGCTTTGGATAAAAGCGTCTGCTAAATGGCATATTATTATTATTATTATTAATATTATTATTATTATTATTATCTAAAATACAAAAATGAACTGAACCTAGATCAGCACTTTTTGAATTTAGACCCTAATCTCAAAATGGCCGTAATGTTTTAAGTTTAGATGTTCCCTGGCCATCTAGCAGCTTTTGTTTTGGCAATTTGTTTGTTGACGACGGCTTCTCTTTTTAATTAACAGGCGGCAGAGAATATTATGTAATAGCTTTTAACATCATGATGATGTTTTGCTTAGAGGACTATGTCTTACAATGCGTCCCTAATGACCCCCTATTCCCGATGTAGTGCACTACTTTTTCATCAGGGCCCTGGTCTAAAGTAGTGCACTACATAGGGAATAGGGTGCCATTTTGAGACGCAACCTCAGTGAACTCTGTGTTTTAATCTCTTTTGTTGTTCCTCCAGTACATCTTGTCTGGATCAGATGACTTCAACCTCTATATGTGGAGAATCCCAAAGGATCCTGAAGCAGGTAAGAGTGTGCGTTTCCGTATATCAGTTTGTTGATCTTGTTTGTGTCAATAGCTACGTTTCTGTCCAATTTGTGACAGATAAAACACATCTCTGGTGGCGTTTTCCCACCAGAGATGTTTCCAGCAAACTGACTTTTTTTTTTTTTTTTGCGGGTGAAAAAGGCTGTGCGTGATGGCGTGGTGCACATATAAATTACTTTTGCTGTTAAATTCCCGTGTTCTATGAGTTTCACTCACATTTTCAACTCTACTGATGGTTTTACCTTATATAGAGCGGCAGGTGGCTTAGTGGTTAAGAGCGTTGTGCCAGTAACCGAAAGGTCGCTGGTTCTAATCCCCGAGCCGACTAGGTGAAAAATCTGTCGATGTGCCCTTGAGCAAGGCACTTAACCCTAAATTGCTCATGTAAGTCGCTCTGGATAAGAGCGTCTGCTAAAATGACTAAAACATGTAAAATGTATAGCGAGTGTACCCAAGTGCGCTCTAGCCATCGGCTCGCGGAGACAATGTGGGTAGGGATACCTACATGATGAGATTATTATGGATAAGAGAGATTTCTTATTTGTCAAAACTGCAGCCAAGCATCGATCATCATCGTGTCACCAGAATAAGACCCTTGATATTTATTGGAAAGGAGCATCAAGCTCATCACCCGTGGCCCTTTCACCACCCTGTGAAGTTCATCATAACTTATTTCATCTGTAGCCTAATAAACGGCATGGTTTCCCGATGAGTCGTAGTGGGAGGACCACACAACATGTCATCGCGTGACTCCAAATGTACTTCGATATGACGGTTATTATATCAATATTTGCACATAAAAGGCGTTTCTGCCATTTCTTGCTTTAATACATTTTACCGACACAAAAAGATCCCACCAAATTGTCGGTCGCCATTTTAACGTTTCCATCTGCCCAGTCGTGACCTTTTTCATGCATCCGGTTATTCATCCGCATGAAATGTTTGGATGGAAACGTGGTTACAGATTACGATCTCTCTTATTCCGTCTCACCCCTCCAGGAGGCCCGGGTCGTGTGGTGAACGGAGCGAGCATGGTTCTAAAGGGTCACCGCTCCATCGTGAACCAGGTCCGGTTCAACCCCAGCACCTATATGATCTGCTCCTCCGGGGTCGAGAAGGTCATCAAGGTCAGTAGTGACGTCGTTGAGGAAAAACAAAAAACAAAAACACGTTTTCATAATCGTACAAAACACAGGTCGGGGTGGGTGTTTTGACTTTGTGTAAAATGACTCGGTACAATGATTTGGTTCATGAAATCATCAGTGACATCATATCAACATTATATCATCACCATGCTTGAATGAACGTCAATTGATTACGTCATCATGATTAGAAGGTCATCAGTTCAGTTGTCTAAGTACTTAGAAAATGCACAGAATCTTGAAGGTAATTGTTTGTTGCAAGAAAAGGAAAAAATGAATCATCATCTCGGCATGAATGAATCAGCCCTTCTACTCCTTAAACCCTTGGAAAGGTAGTTACACCCATCCGTCCCTCTAGGCTTGTTTCCCACCCTGTATGAGTCTCAGGTCTCGAGTAATGATGACTCATTGTCCCTCATCAATCACAGGGTCTGAGGTGAAGACAGACGGCTCATCGCCTCCTTCACCATCTGTCCACTGTCTGTCTCCTTCACCATCTGTCCACTGTCTGTCTCCTTCACCATCTGTTCACTGTCTGTCTCCTTCACCATCTGTCCACTGTCTGTCTCCTTCACCATCTGTTCACTGTCTGGCTCCTTCACCATCTGTCCACTTTTTCCTTCACCATCTGTTCACTGTCTGTCTCCTTCACCATCTGTCCACTTTCTCCTTCACCATCTGTCCACTGTCTGTCTCCTTCACCATCTGTTCACTGTCTGTCTCCTTCACCATCTGTCCACTTTTTCCTTCACCATCTGTTCACTGTCTGTCTCCTTCACCATCTGTTCACTGTCTGTCTCCTTCACCATCTGTTCACTGTCTCCTTCACCATCTGTTCACTGTCTGTCTCCTTCACCATCTGTTCACTGTCTGGCTCCTTCACCATCTGTCCACTGTCTGTCTCCTTCACCATCTGTCCACTGTCTGTCTCCTTCACCATCTGTTCACTGTCTGTCTCCTTCACCATCTGTCCACTGTCTGCCTCCTTCACCATCTGTTCACTGTCTGGCTCCTTCACCATCTGTCCACTGTCTGTCTCCTTCACCATCTGTCCACTGTCTGCCTCCTTCACCATCTGTTCACTGTCTGTCTCCTTCACCATCTGTTCACTGTCTGGCTCCTTCACCATCTGTCCACTGTCTGCCTCCTTCACCATCTGTTCATTGTCTGTCTCCTTCACCATCTGTTCACTGTCTGTCTCCTTCACCATCTGTTCACTGTCTGTCTCCTTCACCATCTGTTCACTGTCTGCCTCCTTCACCATCTGTCCACTGTCTGCCTCCTTCACCATCTGTTCATTGTCTGTCTCCTTCACCATCTGTTCATTGTCTATCTCCTTCACCATCTGTTCACTGTCTGTCTCCTTCACCATCTGTCCACTGTCTGTCTCCTTCACCATCTGTCCACTGTCTGCCTCCTTCACCATCTGTCCACTGTCTGCCTCCTTCACCATCTGTCCACTCTGTCTCCTTCACCATCTGTCCCTTGTCTCCTTCACCTCGTCACGTCTGTCTCCTTCACCATCTGTTCACTGTCTGTCTCCTTCACCATCTGTTCCACGTCTGTCCTTCCCGTCTTCTTCTCCTCACCATCTGTTCACTGTCTGTCTCCTTCACCACATCTGTTCTCACATCTGTCCTGCTGCTCCTTCACCATCTGTCCACTGTCTGCTCTTCACCATCTCATGTACCTGTCTCCTTCACCATCTGTCTCACTGTCTGTCTCCTTCACCATCTGTCTCACTGTCTGTCTCCTTCACCATCTGTCCACTGTCTGTCTCCTTCACCATCTGTTCATTGTCTGTCTCCTTCACCATCTGTTCACTGTCTGTCTCCTTCACCATCTGTCCACTGTCTGTCTCCTTCACCATTCTGTTCTTCACCACTGTCTGCTCCTTCACCATCTGTCACTGTCTGTCTCCTTCACCATCTGTTTCCACTGTCTGTCTCCTTCACCATCTGTCACTGTCTTGTACCTTCCCTTCCCTTCACACTCATCTGTCTCACCATCTTCCGTCTCCTTCACCATCTGTCCACTGTCTCTCCTTCACCATCTGTCACTTCTCTCCTTCACCATCTGTCACTGTCTGTCTCCTTCACCATCTGTCACTGTCTGTCTCCTTCACCATCTGTCACTGTCTGGCTCCACCATCTGTCACTGTCTCCTTCACTCTTCCACTGTTCCTGTCTCCTTCACCATCTGTTCACTGTCTGCTCCTTCACATCATGTCACTGTCCTGCTCCTTCACCATCTGTTCATTGTCTGTCTCCTTCACCATCTGTCACTGTCTGCTCCTTCACCATCTGTTCACTGTCTGCTCCTTCACCATCTGTTCAACTGTCTGCCTCCTTCACCATCTGTTCACTGTCTGTCTCCTTCACCATCTGTCACGTCTCTCCTCACCATCTGTCCACTGTCTGCTCCTTCCCATCTCACTCTCCTTCCCATCTTCCTTGTCTCCTTCACATCATAGCCTAGTCCTCCTCATTAACTCTTTTTGGCTGTACCAGAAGTGTGAAAGCTGATACAGGCCCAGGTGCACTCTAAACCTGACCCCGCCCGCTCCCTCCCTCTCCCACCCCGGAGTCCCTCCCTCCCTCGGCCCACCCGCTCCTCCCTCCCTCCCTCCCCCTCCCACCCGCTCCCATCTCCTCCCTCCCCCAGGCCGTGAGCCCTACCAGCAGCCGGAGAGTGTGGAGACCTGGATTGCTGTTTAGAGGATAAAGTCCAGGAGTCGGTCCACCATGATGAATATATCAACCTGGGCTGAACAGCTGCGCGGCCTTAGCCCGACTAAGTCTCACCGGTAACACACACATACACACACACACACACACACACACACACACACACATATTTTGGGGGATTCATTAAGTACGATTGCATCTTTCTTATCTCATCTCAGTCCATCCAGGAGGACCCTCGTATGATGGCCTTCTTTGACTCTCTGGTGCGTCGGGAGATCGAGGGCTGGAGTTCGGACTCGGACAGCGACCTGAGTGAGGGGGCCATCCAGCAGCTCCACGCCAGGGGCCGACGCTCCACGCGGGCTGTAAGAGACGGCTCCGGGGCCCTGGTTGGGACTGGGGTTGGTGGTGCTGCTCCACCTGTACACCCTGCTGCTGCTACAGGCGACTCTGACCACTCCTCCTCATCTTCATTGGCTGCACCCGAGGCCTCGGGGGCGGAGCGTCAAGAGGGGGTGGAGCCGCTGCTGCCCAGGAGTCGTCAGCGACAACACCAGTCTGCGGTCTTATTGGACCTGGTGGGAGAGGCCTCTGACTCCTCTAGGTTCTGGCCTGACCCCATGCCCCGCCCGCGCTCCCCCAGCCCCCGAGACAACTCCACCCACTCCAGCCCCACATCCTCCCCCGCTGGGGCCTCCTCCTCCAGCTCCTCCACCACCTCCACCAGCTCTGAGGACGAGGAGCGCCGCAGGGCCAGCACCAGGCAACGTAACGCAGCCCGGAGGAGCCGCATGCACTTCCCCTGCCGGCCCAGCGGGGGGCGCCCTGAGTCCGCCCAGGCCCTGTACCCCGGGGGGGTCGACTCCTGCTCCTACCCAAAGATCTCCGTCGACGAGGCCTCATCCTCCTCCGCGTCCTCCGCGGAGCTGCAGCAGGACCAGGACTCGGTCCAGATCGTGCTCCAAAGGAGGAGCTCGGAAACGGGGAGACGTACTAGCAATTCAGGCAGACTTGCCGGTTCCAGCCCTGCAGTGTCTCTGGACAGCCAGGACGACCGAGACCGAGCGGAGCAGGAGGGGCTCCACATCACCTCCCTTCTGGCTCAAGACGCCCTGCAGCAGAGGACCGAGTCCTGGGAAGGGGGGGGGGAGGGAGGCTGCTTTAGAGAGGATGGTCGAGGGCTTGGAGAGTCCGGAGGAGGACAACAGTAGCTGGGTCTCCCCTTCCTCCAGACATCACCACAGCCCTGGCGTGAACGGCCTGCGGCACCCTGACCAGACTGAGATGACTGAAGTGCCAGTAGACTCCAGGGACCGTCTGGCTCCAGACCTGTTGGAGTCCTCAGACTCCAGGGGAGAGAGGGAGGCCTTAGAGGAGAAACAAACAGACTCTAGGGCCCAGGTAGAGGAGAAGGAAGAAGCAGGGTTGTCTTCTCAGAGAGGCCAGCTGAAACGGACTCACCTGGGGTCCGGAGGTCAAGGGGAGTTGGAGGATTTGGAGAATTCGCCCTCAGAGAAGAAGTTGAAGACATGATGATGATGATGCCTGTCTTGGGAAGGTGATCATTTGGTCAAAGATGCTGTCCTACATTGCTCCCTATTCCCAGTGGTTCTCAAACCTCTCCTCTCCTCGGGGACGTTTCACAACATCGTTGCAACCCTGAACTAGCTCGGCTGATTCACCAAGTCAAGGGCTTGAGGATTAGTTGACGAGTTGAATCAGGTCTGCTAACTCTGGAATAGATTAAACACCTGGAACAGCTGGGGGTCCCCGAGGAGAGGTTTGAGAACCACTGACCTATATAGTGCACTGCTTTTCACCAGGGGCCTTTTGAGCCTACATTTGGGATGTAACCAGAGACTCACCTTAGGGTGGCTTTTCTATGGGTTTTTACAATCCAGTTTCTTGGTTTTGAATTTTTGAGACGTTGGGACGTATTCTGCTAAGAGCAGGACACAGTGGTTAGGAGGGCTTGGCTCTCTGTTTGTCAATCAGAACATACTGGATAATGATTGGTCCAATTATTACTATGGCAGCAACGCATTCTAGAACTTCTATAAATGGTCATCACTTCTGCGGTCAAACCATAGATGACATCAATAATGAAAAGATCCTAAAATAGAAGTAATAATATTGACATTGACAATAATGGAATTATAAATGCCCTACTAGTTAGTAATTTAGTCTTATAAGGCAGAAATGTTATTATTGTTTTTATTTTTTATATGAAAAAAATACATCCAGTTTAGTTGTTTTTTGTTGTTGAAGAAAACACTCCTGTAAGGAAGCTCCAGTTCAGGACTAAGGCTTCAGACAGCATATTTAATTTCTATTGGCGTTAGAGACTTGATTCATTTAGATTTGTCAGTGAGATTCTCTGCTTAGCTTGGTGAAGTGTCAGCTGTTGGAGCCAGGCAAACCGCTGTTTGAGTTGTGCATTAAAGAAGGTATTATGATTGTCCTTGTCTCTCCGTCCTCATCAACCCCCTCTGTCACCAGCAGCACATGTTATCTTTCTGTTTCTTTCTTCAATTAAACAATAATTCACTGCTACCCGATGATTACACTGCTGCCCGGTGATTACACTGCTGCCCGGTGATTACACTGCTACCCGATGATTACACTGCTGCCCGATGAGTACACTGCTACCCGGTGAGTACACTGCTACCCGGTGAGTACACTGCTACCCGGTGATTACACCGTTACCCTATGATTACACTGCCACCCGATGATTACACTGCTGCCCGATGATTACACTGCTGCCCGGTGAGTACACTGCTTCCCGGTGAGTACACTGCTACCCTATGATTACACTGCTACCCGGTGATTACACCGTTACCCGATGATTACACTGCCACCCTATGATTACACTGCCACCCGATGATTACACTGCTACCCGATGATTACACTGCTGCCCGGTGAGTACACTGCTTCCCGGTGAGTACACTGCTACCCTATGATTACACTGCTACCCTATGATTACACTGCTACCCGGTGATTACACGTTGCCCGGTGATTACACGTTGCCCGATGATTACACTGCCACCCGATGATTACACTGCTACCCGATGATTACACTGCTGCCCGGTGAGTACACTGCTACCCGATGATTACACTGCTACCCGATGATTACACTGCTACCCGATGATTACACTGCTACCCGATGATTACACTGCTGCCATTTCTGAGTCCTTTTTCTATCCGTTATCAGGATTTTTTAAAATCAATTTACGATGATGATGATGACGTTTCACTCCCACCTTTCAAGATACCCAGGGATACTTACAGAGTAAAAAATATAATTAAATAGCTAATTTAAACATGCCATTACTACCACAATAATTGACATACATTCTGTGTTTAGTGTACTATTGCGTTTCTCTAATTGAAGAGCTATTGGATAATGTTTCTGCACCCACAGTACCAAGTCACCATGGCAACGAAGCTTCAACACTGCAGTGAAAGAAATGTGACCCTGAACAGACCATAGACTGGAGAATGTAGAACACACAATGATGGTTAGATATGCTGCTAGACCAAACCAATTTATAGACCAGACCGATATAGTGAATCGGGAAAATGTCAGTCTTTGTACAATAATAATTATTATTATTATTATCATGGTACCAGTACTTGTTTCTAATACACCAGATGTACAGTGGCTTGCAAAAGTATTCACCCTGCTTGGTATTTTTCCTATTTTGTTGTCTTACAACCTGGAATTAAAATTGATTTTTTGGGGGGGTTTGTATCATTTGGTTTACACAACATGCCTAACACTTTGAAGATGCAAAATATTTTTTGGGGTGAAACAAACAAGAAATAAGACAAAAAAACTGAACTTGAGCGTGCCTTAACTATTCACCCACCAAAGTCAATACTTTGTAGAGCCACATTTTGCAGCAATTACAGCTGCAAGTCTCTTGGCGTATGTCTCTATAAGCTTGGCACATCTAGCCACTGGGATTTTTGTCCATTCTTCAAAGCAAAACTGCTCCAGCTCCTTCAAGTTGGATGGGTTCCGCTGGTGTACAGCAATCTTTAAGTGATACCACAGATTCTCAATTGGATTGAGGTCTGGGCTTTGACTAGGCCATTCCAAGACATTTTAAATGTTTCCCCTTAAACCACTCGAGTGTTGCTTTAGCAGTATGCTTAGGGTCATTGTCCTGCTGGGAGGTGAACCTCCGTCCCAGTCTCAAATCTCTGGAAGACTGAAACAGGTTCCCTCAAGAATTTCCCTGTATTTAGTTTCCCAGTAAATCGAATTGTAAATCGAATGTACATCCACCGTCATTTTCATATTGAATATAATATCCTTCTCAATTATGAAATAACATTTCTAAATACGCCACTATTTATAGTGCCAACTAACAGCAGCTAGCAATTTCAGTGTAATTGATGGGAGAGAAATTCCACAGGGTTATGGTAGGTCTCTAGCAAAATACTTCATTCACAGTGACTAATAGTGAGCCAAATAACCATAAAAGGACTAAAGTCTTCTGATCAGATAGCAAAGAAGCCACACCCTCTCTGACTGAAACATGATGTGTTCCAATTGACACCCTATTCCCTATATAGTGCCCTGGTCAAAAGTAGTGCACTATAAAGGGTATGAAGGGAGCTTTGACTAGGCCATTCCAATACATTTAAATGTTTCCCCTTAAACCACTCAAGTGTTGCTTTAGCAATATGCTTAGGGTCATTGTCCTGCTGGAAGGTGAACCACCGTCCCAGTCTCAAATCTCTGGAAGACTGAAACAGGTTTCCCTCAAGAATTTCCCTGTATTTAGCGCCATCCATCATTCCTTCAATTCTGACCAGTTTCCCAGTCCCTGCCGATGAAAAACATCCCCACAGCATGATGCTGCCACCACCATGCTTCACTGTGGGGATGGTGTTCTCGGGGTGATGAGAGGTGTTGGGTTTGCGCCAGACATAGCGTTTTCCTTGATGGCCAAAAAGCTCAATTTTAGTCTCATCTGACCAGAGTACCTTCTTCCATATGTTTGGGGAGTCTCCCACATGCCTTTTGGCGAACACCAAACGTGTTTGCTTATTTTTTTCTTTAAGCAATGGCTTTTTTCTGGCCACTCTTCCGTAAAGCTCAGCTCTGTGGAGTGTACGGCTTAAAGTGGTCCTATGGACAGATACTCCAATCTCTGCTGTGGAGCTTTGCAGCTCCTTCAGGGTTATCTTTGGTATCTTTGTTGCCTCTCTGATTAATGCCCTCCTTGCCTGGTCTGTGAGTTTTGGTAGGCGGCCCTCTCTTGGCAGGTTTGTTGTGGTGCCATATTCTTTCCATTTTTAAATAATGGATTTAATGGTACTCAGTGGGATGTTCAAAGTTTCGGATATCTTTTTATAACCCAACCCTGTTCTGTACTTCTCCACAACTTTGTCCCTGACCTGTTTGGAGAGCTCCTTGGTCTTCATGGTGCCGCTTGCTTGGTGGTGCCCTTTGCTTAGTGGGGTCTTTCAGAACTGGTGTATATATATATATACTGAGATCATGTGACCGATCATGTGACACTTAGATTGCACACAGGTGGACTTTATTTAACTAATTATGTGACTTCTGAAGGTAATTGGTTGCACCAGATCTTATTTAGGGGCTTCATAGCAAAGGGGGTGAATACATATGCACGCACCACTTTTCCGTTATTTATTTTTTAGAATCTTTTGAAACAAGTTATTTTTTTCATTTCACTTCACCAATTTGGACTATTTTCGTGTTCAGTCGTGGTCAAACGTTTTGAGAATGACACAAATATTAATTATCAGTCTGCTGCCTCAGTTTTTATGATGCAAATTTGCATATACTCCAGAATGTTATGAAGAGTGATCAGATGAATTGCAAAGTCCCTCTTTGCCATGAAAATGAACTTAATCCCCAAAAAAACTTTTTCCACTGCATTTCAGCCCTGCCACAAAAGGACCAGCTGACATCATGTCAGTGATTCTCCCGTTAACACAGGTGAGAGTGTTGACGGGGACAAGGCTGGAGATCACTCTGTCATGCTGATTGAGTTAGAATAACAGACTGGAAGCTTTAAAAGGAGGGTGGTGCTTGAAATCATTGTTCTTCCTCTGTTAACCATGGTTACCTGCAAGGAAACACGTGCCGTCATCATTGCTTTGCACAAAAAGGGCTTCACAGGCAAGGATATTGCTGCTAGTAAGATTGCACCTAAATCAACCATTTATAGGATCATCAAGAACTTCAAGGAGAGAGGTTCAATTGTTGTGAAGAAGGCTTCAGGGCGCCCAAGAAAGTCCAGCAAGCGCCAGGACCATCTCCTAAAGTTGATTCAACTGCGGGATTGGGGCACCACCAGTGCAGAGCTTGCTCAGGAATGGCAGCAGGCAGGTGTGAGGGCATCTGCACGCACAGTGAGGCGAAGACTTGGAGGATGGCCTGGTGTCAAGAAGGGCAGCGAGGAAGCCACTTCTCTCCAAGAAAAACATCAGGGACAGACTGATATTCTGCAAAAGGTACAGGGATTGGACTGCTGAGGACTGGGGTAAAGTCA